AATTTTAATTTTTTAGGTGTCTAAGGGTAATATCTTGAATTCATCTTATGTTATTTACAAATTTTAGAATTTTAGGGTAGCTTTTTATAATTTTAACTTTATAATTTTTGAGACATTGAGGTGTTAACTGTAAATTTTAAATTCTTTGCAAACTGATGTTAATTTTTTAATTTCATGTTTTTTATTTTAAGTTTTGAGACATTTGGATGAGTTTTATAATTTTGAACTTTTCAGGGTCTTTTCTGCAGTTTTAAACTTTTTATGGTTTTTTTTGCAATACTTCATGTATTATAATATGTTATCTACTTGTAATTTTTTTATCTTAACAAACTAATATCATTTTTATGTTTTATATATTTTATTAATATTAGTTTTTTTAAATTGTTAAGCTAAACATGGTTCACATAGGATTAGGATAAGATATGATTATGATTAGGATAGATTAACATATAAATAAAATATTCAAAATAGTGAAGGGTAATATTGACCATTGAAAATTAGAATTTGATTATAGATAACATAGTTCAAACTATAAAAGGGTATATTTGTCTAAAAAAGATTTTCCGAACTCATGCTTTTAAAAGGAGTATGATGAATTAGTAACTAAATTAATATAAATCCTACTAATAGAAAACTCTATTTATTCAACAAATATAAAGATATCAACACATAACATTTTTTATTATCTTATATCAATATATTAATTTTTTTCATTTTAATCACAAAAAAAATAACAGACTACTCTTAGTCCCAACAACATTCTTTCATAATTGTTTTCCGTATGAGGGCACCACACGAATATTATGGGGCACATATGAAAACAATAGACAGGGTCTTTCTTTTTTACATATAAATGGGGACCCCTTTATGTAGATCCGTCCTTGTAATAATTGAAAATTGCATTATATTTTTCCATATTGTAGTCCTCTCTTTCTTTTCTCGCAGGCAATTATGTTACTTTAATCTTTATTTATTTATTTTTTCTCGTCTGCCTGCTAATCCAGCGATCTCCTTTTTTGTCCTTCTCTTTTTTTTGCCCATGTTCTCTTTACAAATTTATTTTGTTATGACTTGGATTACAAAAAAATATGTCTATATAAATCTAGATTTGTATATGTTAGGACATGAATATGATAACTAGAGTAGAACTTATGTCAACTTAAGTTGACAAGAGCCTTGTGTCCACCAAAGTTTATATCCACTCATTTACTATATAAAAAGTCACTTCATATCATGCAAGGATCCCTAGGAGATATCTAATGGTTAACAACTTTGGTGGATGTCAACTTAAGTTGACATAAGTTTTGCTCATGATAATATATATATCATATATATATAATATATATATATATATATATATAGTATCGGAAACATCTTAAATATATATAGGTCATTGTTATAGCCATTTCAATGATGAAAAATAATCACCAATCGATGGCAAAACAAGTGTCCCACGTTATGCATAATCAGGTCAACATCTTAAGATAATCAAAAGCCTAACTCCTTTGACTCGATACACTGACTGAAGGAAATTCATGCTAAATACATGCAAAATACGCAACGGAAGACTATATGTATAATTATGCTATGCATGTAGAGAGCATGAAATACATAATAGGATCATCCTAATTAAATCTAACATGATCCCTATATTAAAGAGAACATAAAAGAGTTAGAAAGTCATACTTTCGAAACGTGATTCGATAGAAGATCGAATAACCCCTAGCTCTTGCTCCTTGTAGTAGAAAATCTCCTCGTAGTGGATCTCCAAGTCTTCAAGTGGGCTTGATAAAATAGGAGTCTTCTTGAGTCACAAGGCAAGATATCCACCCCGGGTTCTTAAAATCCTACTACTTCCTCTTGCTCAAAGATTGCTAAAGTTTAGTAAGAGGAGAGCTCTCTTTTATTCTCTTATGGAAAAAACCACTTAGCCAATTTTTTATTAACATTTTCATAAGAAAGAGAGCTTATATTTATAGAGTGAAAATATGTTCATGACATGAATGAGCTCATATTTATAGAGTGAAATGTGTTCATGACATGAATGACTCATCCTATGAGTCATGCAATGAATCATCAAATATCAATGATTAATCTAGTGAGTCATGCAATGAATCATCTTATGAATCATTACATTTCAAAACCATGTGCTAATAAACCATGTGCTCAAACCATACCACTAAATGACTCATCTCATGACTCATTATACATGGTATGTGTATTACATAAATGAGAATACCAAATCAATATTGTATTTCATAAATACAATATTTTGTAATTTTCCAATCATTGATTAATAAGTCATAATATGACCAAAAAGTTAATGAGTTGACCAAAAGTCAACTGTTGACCAAAAAGTCAACTAGTTGACTAAAAGTTAACTTTATAGGAAAAATACTAGAATTCATTTCCTAAGCACATAGCATTCCGATTTTATCGATATACATAACTGTTTATGTGTATCCGATAAAATCATATATGCGTATCAATCATACGCATCACTCTATAAATTGTGTTTCATAGGATTCAAGTACGCGCTTGGTGTGACTCTAGGGCCCAACTTAAGAACTCGGCAGTGGATCATATCCACAAGTACAACAGAGGTGCTAGCTACACATGAAGACTACCCGGGTATAAGTTGTGATAAATGTCTGCAAGATGCTAACACAATTATATCAGGACCACTCAGTGATAATGCCGTACAGTCCGGTCTCTTCGTCAAACCATGTCAAACTATTAAGCCTAGGGTATGGAAAACTGTCAAACCCTAATTGCTCAATTAGTGTTTGTTGATATTAAACTCATAACCTATAAGATCAAACTGACACTCAGTTTATCTTATTCACCTTGGCCAAGGATTTCCAGGCTATAGTTATATCAAACAATCTTATGACATCAACCCCCTATACTGGGAGAGACGAATCCCATCTTGGCATCTCAATATCTACTTATGCCTCGGGATGTACCCAACAAGAACCGTTATGCACAACTCGATGAGAACTGTGGTTAGGTAAAAGTCTAAGTACACCTATACTGACATGTAAGATATTGCACTCATGCCTCAGGTCATGAGACTACTATGTACTATATCACTTGAGAACTTCTATTTGACAGTTAAGTATAATTACCAACTAGATGTTCTCAGTGAGTCGTTCAGTCAACTCATTCACTAATGAGTCACCTGTATACTATATCTTGATGTCTCACATCAATGATCTAAGAGATGGATCATCATCCTTCCAAAGGAGAAATAAAGTATACACTAGTCTTACCAAAGTGACCAAAGGAGAAATAGAGTATACACTAGTCTTACCAAAGTGATTATGTCTCATTTCAACACTTCTTCAACTAGGAACATTTTAGAATATACTTTGGCGACAAATCAGATCTCTTCATTACGATCATATCTGAAATGTCTGATAGTCTAGTATCATTCTAAGGACTTTATCTGTATTTAAAAATACCAGATAAATCTAACCAAAATAGCATACTATTATTTTGAACAAGGATGTTATATTCATATAGGTTATGTTATAATATGCAATTATTGCCTGCAGGGCACCTATATCTAACACCGACATCCTGCGATGATGACTTGAAAGGCGTCACATATCGATGACCCGAAAGGCGTTTCGTGTCGTCCCCTGGCAGAGTCAACTACTTAAACACTCCACTCAACCAACTCATAGGTCGACACCCTGCGAGGGTGACTCAAAAGACGGTACTTCTCAACCACTAGATGAATAAAAAGGCGACGAAACGCCTTGAGCCCCTTCTGTACACTGATAACCAATCACTTCTCTATAAAATGCCATTAAATGCATTATGGACGTCATCTACCTCCAAATAGTATTTATGACCCATCGTACCACGTCGGCACTATACACCCTACATCACTTTGTATTAAACCAAAGTGACATCTCTTCCATTCATCGGCCAACACCTATGAAGTTGACTTGGTCGTCGGCCCATGCCAGGCCAAAGTTATCATCCTACCCACCTTCCACCACAATAAAAGGATACATCATTTTTCATCATGGTAAACTTTTTCCACCGTTCTCTGAACTTAAGAGATGCTGGGAATCACACCCAATCATAAAATTAAATTTGAATTATTTATTCCCAATATGGTCATGATTTATTTTTTTAAATTAAAAGGGGAGACCCATTACCATTGAAGGGTAAACATTTAATTTCGACTTGTTGGGGCGCTCCTCTTCAAAGAAGAGGGCGACCCTCCAAAAAATGGCGTATGCTGCTTGAGTGTGGAGAGCACACGGTATTCTTTAGTAAAAGGCGAAAGAGTAGTTCGCTCTGTGCTCACCACGCAGCTGCGTGATTTTCTACGGCTCATGCGGAGCTATTTTTATAAGCGGTAGAGCCCGGAGAAAACGCATCGAGCCCCTCATGTCCACTGAAAACCAATCAGATGAATAAAAAGGTGACGAAACGCATCGAGCCCCTCATGTCCACTGAAAACCAATCACCTGTTATAAAAACTCCATTAAATGCATTATGGACGTCATCTACCTCCAAATAGTATTTATGACCCATCGTACCACGTCGGCACTATACACCCTACATCACTTTGTATTAAACGAAAGTGACATCTCCTCCATTCATCGGCCAACACCTATGAAGTTGACTTGGCCGTCTGCCCATGCCAGGCCAAACTTATCATCCTACCCACCTTCCACCACAATAAAAGGATACATCATTTTTCATCATAGGTAAACTTTTTCCACCGTTCTCTGAACCTAAGAGATGCTAGGAATCACACCCAATTATAAAATTAAATTTGAATTATTTATTCCTAATATGGTCATGATTTATTTTTTTAAATTAAAAGGAGAGACCCATTACAAACGAAGGGTAAACATTTAATTTCAACTTGTTGGGGCCCTCCTCTTCAAAAGAAGAAGGCGACCCTCCAAAAATTGGCGTATGCTGCTTGAGTGTGGAGAGCACACGGTATTCTTTAGTAAAAGGCGAAAGAATAGTTCGCTCTGTGCTCACCACGCAGCTGCGTAGCTATCTGATCACCCCTCAAACCCATTTTATACCCACCTCAGCAGCCTCAAACTCCTGCCACCCCCGATGTGGGACTAAACAAAGCTCCAATTCTCCCCTCCCCAAATACATAAGCCTCTGCACGGTTTTTCCTCCCTAGGGTTTCGAAGCTGTCAATGGCGTCCTCCGTCGTCACCGTCGGCGGTAAGGGCTCAACTCTCTCTCCTCTCTCAGTCTATTCAATCTCCAATGCCTTGTCAAGGGTCAAAATTGATTCCTCCGCTTTAGACAAGCTCTCTTCTCAATCGAAGAAACCCTCTTCGATATCCCCCCCCCCAAAAACCCTACCACCCACGAACCCTAATTTCCTAACCACAGAAGAATCCCGTGCTGCTCTCATCGTCCTCTTGAACAAACTCATCCTCTCCGATTCCGACATCCGTCCTGTTCTCCCGACCCTCATCGAAGAAACCCTCAACCTCGATCACGGGCACGAAACCCTGGACTTCAGTTCGACATTTCAACTCCTCGACTCTCTCTGCCGGTTGAATGGTAAGAGACTTGATGAAATTGGAGTGACAAGCGATGAGATTGGGGTGATTGAGGGCTCTTTCGCTGCCTCGACCGGGATTTGTGCGATTTTGGATTGCTGCGCTTCGGCTCTGGTGAGGTTATCTGATGCTGTTGCTGCGTTGTCTTGCGAAGCGGGTCGGGTTGATGTGAAGGTGTTCAATTTGCCCGTTTCGGGTGATGGGTTTTCGATTAAGGATGAGACCAACGTGGCTGGAGATATGAAGGTTCTGTTGGCGGAATCGAAGCTTGCGGATAAGGTTGACTCGGTTTTGTTTGCGGAGATTCCTACTCTTAATGCTAGTTTTAGAGAAGCTGTTAGGTCTTTGCATTCTAGAGTTCGGGTTGAGTTGAACTCTGTTGTTAAAGCGAAGAAGACAGTTGGAGTTGGGAGTAAGGGAAAAGAGAAGGCTTTTGTTTTAGGTCTTTGCATTCTAGAGTTCGGGTTGAGTTGAACTCTGTTGTTAAAGCGAAGAAGACAGTTGGAGTTGGGAGTAAGGGAAAAGAGAAGGCTTTTGTTGCTTCCGTGTTGCCACTTGCGATGGCTATTCAGTCTATGAGTGAATGCAGTTTAGGCCGAGCTAGATTGGCTATTGAATCATTGAGTGATCAAGAGCTAAAAGCAAGAGTGTTGGAGAATTTTGAGAAGAGAAGTCCAAATATTGACAAGTTAAAAGAAAGTTTTCAGGTGATTACTGAAAAGGCTTCATCTGGGTCAGATTATGTTAAAGGTTTGCATTCTGTGTATGATACTTTGATTAACTTTAGAGAGATTCTTGCTTGGGAGGCGGTGGTGGCTCTATTTGTGCTTGACACGGATGAATCGATTGAAAAGGTTCAAGTTGGTCCTTCAGCTAGTATTCTGGAGAGTGGAGAGAACTCAAAGGGTGAAAAAAAGAGCGAGAAGAAGAAGAAGAAGAAGAAGACTCTAGGGAAGGGAACTTCACTTATAAGGCAGCTTCTTAAAGACCGATTTATGGGCAAAAATGAGGCATCTATTGAAGATGTTGCTGTTTTGGTTGAGTGGGTAAAAGAACTTCTGCTTTACTTCGATCCCAAGGACAGTGGACTGGATTCCTTGCTGAATAAAGTGAAAGAGATAGTTGAGAACAATGATAGCAGGAGACTGCCAAAAATCCCGAAAGTAAGTACTGCTAATGTCATTATATCAGAATTTGAGAAATTGCTTGTGCTTAAACTTAGAAATCAATATTATGCACCCTTATTTGCTTCACTCTTGGAATAAACAGGGGTCATTCAGATTATTGCCAATACCTTATATGTTGGTATATTGTATGTCTCAAATCGCTCAAATTTTGTTGGCAGATAAAATCAGAGATCTGAAAAGTCATAGTCCTGCCATTAGCTAATTTAAAATTTCTCTTCCATGAAAAAATTGTTCAATTCACATTTTGATGTAATGCAGAGTGAAGATTGTTATTTCTAAAAGCTATGCAAATAATTGAAGCTTTCTATTTTAAAAAATGTTATATTACTGAAGTCGTATGACCAAGGAATTAACCTTATGATTTTGGTTTTGTGCATCCAAACACACTCAGGAATCTGTGCACTGTGATTTGCATTCACACCTCCCTATCTCAGTCATTCATGCAACATTCTGCCTCCTTTCAGCTTGAAAGTACACATCTCTCGCCTGTGTATATCTGTATTAATATTGGCTTCCCTGTTTCTGTCATGTCGTTGGGGGGTGGAAAGACCAATTTGTTTGATTCTAGTTTTCCTTTCTTTATATTATTAAAACACATGAAAAAAGTAACCCGTCCTCTTAGGGTTGTCTTGTTGAGGGACTTCCAAGTTTTATATTTAAAAAAAACATTTTGAGACTAAATTTGGACTAGTAAATGATGCATAACTGGTGGAGCTTTTCTTTATGCTCACGATCTGAAGTCCATCTTTTTTAGGGAACCCGTGATTTTGCAAAAGAAAAAATGGCCATAAGGGAGCGTGCATTTTCAATTATCGTTAATGTTTTCAAGATGCACGGAGCAGTTGGACTTGATACTCCTGTATTTGAACTTAGAGAGACTCTTATGGGGAAGTATGGGGAAGATTCAAAGTTGATATATGACCTTGCTGACCAGGTATGCTGCTGCTCACTTTTGTCGGAATGTGATGTGTCAATTATTCCGTTTATGATGATGGTTGCTAGCTGGGTGTATTTTTTTGCAAGTATATAATTTGTCTGGAATTATTTTCAGGGTGGTGAGCTTTGTTCTCTGCGATATGACTTGACTGTCCCTTTTGCACGATACCTTGCAATGAACAATATCAGTGCGTTGAAGAGGTACCAAATAGCTAAAGTGTACAGAAGAGATAATCCATCAAAAGGGAGGTTTCGTGAATTCTACCAGTGTGACTTTGATATCGCTGGTCAATATGAAATAATGGAACCTGATTTTGAGGTTATCAAAGTTCTGACTGAACTGCTGAATGACCTCAATATAGGTGATTTTGAGGTACTCTTTGCATCAATTACTGCTCTATTGCCTTTTATGGAACACATGAATACAGCTTTGATAAACAAATAGCTTTCATTTGCACGTTTGTTGATATATTTACTGTCCTGTATAGATGCAGTTGTTTGAACATTCCTGAATTATGCCCTGATTGTTTGCAAAATCCTTTTGTTACTGCAGATAAAGCTGAACCACCGGCAATTACTGGATGCAATGTTGGAGATATGTGGTGTGCCTTCTGAAAAATTCAGAACAGTATGTTCTAGTATTGACAAATTGGATAAGCAATCATTGGAAGAAATAAAAAAGGAACTGGTAAGCAGGTTCATTTTGCATCTAATTAACCAACGAAGTAAAATCTTCAAATACTCTCTTAATTTAACTTGGTATTTTGTCATTCAATATTTGGCTTGTGGTTTGCATTAATCATATGTAGAATAATATACCTGCATTACCGAGGTATCTAGGTAGTAAATCATCATTTTAGGAGAAGAATGCACTTTAACATGAATGAAACTTTAATTTTCTGCCAGCACATAAACATCATGTCTTTAAAGTTTCTTTCCATATGTTAAGATGTAAGTGCTGTTATTTTATTTCATTAACAACTCCCCAAAATCTCGAGCACATTCATAAACTCAAGAATTATGTGAACATGTAGTTAGCCGTAAAGGTTCTTCCATTGTGTTCCACAATTTATTTTCTCAACATGTTATCAAAATCTTACTGCATGCACTGCATAGTAATCTGAGGATGATTGAGTTCATGTAAAAGTGATGTCTTGTTTTCCAGAATTAGATACTGTTATTGTCAGTCCTTCCTCCCAAAAAACACATTTCATCACAACTACTTCCAAAATCTAAGGCATGTTGGTTTTCATACTGCTGCATCTTGTTTAGAATGCGTCAAACACTGTCAAATTTAATCTTTAATTTGTGACACAAGTATTTTTATGTCTTTTGAGATGATTCCTATTTTTTTGTCTGATTAAAAGTTCTGTCAACTTAGGTGGATGAAAAAGGCTTGACTGTTGAAATAGCAGAAAGAATTGGCATGTTTGTAAAGAAAAGAGGTTCGCCACTTGAATTATTATCAGAATTGAGAAGCAAGGATAGTCAGTTGTTGGATAACGCTGGATCTGTTATTGCCTTGAACGAATTGGAGATTTTATTTAAAGCTCTTGAGAAATCAAGATGTATAGACAAAGTTGTGTTTGATCTGAGTCTTGCAAGAGGTCTTGATTATTACACTGGAGTTATATTTGAAGCAGTGTTTAAAGGTTCTACACAGGTAATATATATACTCAAGAGTTTATTCTTCTAATGGTTTTTGACATATATTTGCCAGATGGTTTTGGTAACTGGTTACCTATCATGATGACAATCGTGATATGTCCATATCAAATACATAGCAGATACTTAGATACTACTATATTTTATGAATAAATGACGGAGCTTCTTATTTGTCTTGCAATTAAATATGTTGCATTTATGTAATTTGTCCACTTTCCTAATAAGGACTATGATCATTCACGTAGCTATTGAGATATATTATTACATGACTTGGAAAATATTTCAAATATTTAAGACTAGTATCATTTCTTCTTTCGCACTTGGGTCTTCCCTGAGGGCATGTTCAAATATTTCCTGTGAAATGTTTCATTTATTATTATGTATTTTAAGCTCAAGATGCCTTCGCATTTGTTCAACTGAGTCATATTCTTCAAGTTTTAGTTGCTGATATTTATGGTTAACACTCTTCTCATCTGTATTTAGGTTGGTTCTATAGCAGCTGGCGGGCGTTATGACAATTTAGTGGGGATGTTCAGTGGAAAACAGGTCCCTGCAGTTGGTGTTAGCCTTGGAATTGAGCGCGTGTTTGCAATTATGGAACAGCTCGAAAATGACAAACACGAGGTAAAATCTCAAGTCTCATTGGTTGCCTTTCATTAATTTCACTGTTATCTTTAATTTATTGAAAGCCCAAGTGTACATGTACTCTCCAAGTTATGTTTCTGGTATCTTGGATGAGGCTGACTTTAATAGTTATGAATTCATGAATAGATAGCAACATATAATATTGCGACATAATCCTGATATCGTGGTAGAGAACCATTGAAGTACAGAAGTGACAATGGAAGATTGCTAGGCTGAGGAGGTTAAGTCCAGGGACCTTATGTCATCTAAGTACTTGAATTACTAGTCAAAAATAACAGGAGGAAGAAGAAGAAATATGTAAAAGACTAAGATAACAACAACAAAGCCTTCCTTCAAATTTTGGTGTCGAAAACATGAATTGTATTCTTCTATTCAGCTCTTAAATGGTCATGCTCTGTTAACACTTATTATATACTTCTTCAACGAAATTCTCTTAGGCATACCTCTAATTCTCTTTTCTCCATGACTACTAGTAAGGGTAAATGTCAGATAGTCCCCTGAAATTTAGGTTTCCAACAAAACACGGCTGAATTCTATAAATTCCGCTAAACACTAAACACACATGAAGTTTTGGGTGTCTCACAAAATCCCATGAACTTTCAAATTTTCCCAACTGACCCCGCTTATGAAGTTAGTGGGTCTGGTTAAAACTTAAAAGACAAAGTACCCAGATTTACTTGACTTACTAACTCCTTTTGGAGGTCCTTCGGGAAAATTTTAAAGTTTCGTGGGTGTTGTGATACACATCAAAGTTCATGGGCGTATAGTGGAATTTGTAAACTACTAAAAAGGGGGAAAAAGAAGAAGAAGAAAGAAAGAAAGAAAGAAAAAAATGTGAAAATCCAGGGGTTTTTGTGTAGTTTACTCTATAAGTGAGAAGCCTGCATGGCGTAGTTTTCTTAATCTTTCTATGGACTTGCTTTGGTGAAAGAAAGAAATCATGGATTAAATCTTTTTTTTTATAATAGAGATGGATTAATGTTTTAAAATCTTACGAAAATCGTTTGATTACTTGTTAGTAGACTATGTCTCTTGGATTCACCTTAATCATCGCGCTTCATTTATCAGGCAACTCGTGCAACCGAGACACAAGTATTGGTCGCGATTCTCAGCAAGGATCTCGCTCTGGCTGCAGAGCTAGTGAGCGAACTGTGGGACGCAAAAATTAAAGCAGAGTTCGGACTCACCAAGAGAGTGATGAATCACATCAACCGCGCAAAGCAAGCTGGCATCCCTTGGATGGTGATTGTGGGTGAATCAGAAATAAGTAGCGGTATTGTCAAATTAAAGAACATTGAAGTTAACCAGGAGGATTCTGTGCCTAGAGAAGAAATGGTTAATGAGCTTAAAAGAAGATTAAACATTTGATGCGCGGATCATGTCATTGGGTTGCAAGTTACTGTAATTTGTTAGGCTACTGGCAATTGTTTGTTTGTGGTTAGGGTGGATCAATTGGATAGATGCTACTTGTTGGGTGGTATTTTGTAATCCTTTTTTTTTTTTTTTCATTTTTACAATCTAGAAATTTATCAACAGACCACACTGTGGAGACTAGAGAAAACTATACGAAAGTCTTTTTAAACAAAGAAATGACTTTTCTTTTCACTGTAACGGCCAAGTATGCGACTCATTAAATATAGGAAAAGTTTATTCTTAATTTAAGAAACAACATGCTATATAGTTAAATAATATTACTGCCACTTGTTATTACCGTATTATCTTTTAAAAATAATTTATACTCCTAGTAGAACGCACGTGCTTTGTTATTGTATTTGATATTATATTATTTAATAAATTATATATAACCATTAAAAGTTATTTTATTGTACTATGATTAAAATTTTTAACTTATACTATTACTAGTACTTATACTATTAACAAACAATTAATAGTTATTTTAATTTGTCTGTTATTATATTATTAAACTATTTATTTAGGGTTGTAAGTATTAAATAATAATGTAATCATTAGTTTAATGACACTATTGATGTAATTAAACCATTTAAATTATTAAATATCTATGTTATGTACATATTTTTTGACAACTAGTGACGTCCTGTATTGGTAAGCTTGAATGTGTTTTTATTAAGCACTAGTATAGTGCATATGTTTTGCATGAGAGTCTACCTGTTTTGTTTTATGTTTTTTTAAAATTTGTTTTGTCGGCTGCAAAATAACAAAATGACTTATATAGTAATATAAAATTTGAACATGTATAATTTTATTTAAATGAATAAATTGTACGATGAAACTTTGTATGATGAACTGTTCGATTAATTATTATAGTTTGGATAATTGTTATAATTTATTTATAATTTATTAAAATAATTATAATATGTTAAATAATTTCTTCTCTTTTAAATATAATAATATTATACACAATGTAATTATAATACTATTAGTAACTACATTTTAATTTCATAATTAGTTTATTACACCATTAGTACATAATTTAGTAATTGTATAGTTATCAAATTGTAGTTTGATTTATTAATTTAAAAAATACTATTAAAATCATTATCCTATAAATACTATTAAAATTATAATATACTATTATCATACTTTTAAAGGCTGACAAGATGAAAATGTAATAGGTAGTCCCCCATAAGAGATGAAACCCAAAGGTATAATGCATGAGCCTAATGAATTTTATTATTATTTTTTATATTTTTGAATTTTTTAAAGAATATGTGACGATAAATTAGGGATAAATTTTAATTTTTTATTAAATAACATAATTAAATAACAAAAAATAGTGTGACCAAAGGTTTTTGAAAAAGTAAGGAAATGCATAATTAATAAGAGGTTGTATATAATTAGTGAATGATTAATTACAACTAATGATATATTTGAGAATTATCAAACTTAAAAGGTAAAAAATGGAAATCATAAGTTTTAACAAGGCAATCCTCTTTTATATGTAGTGTGGATATCTACTAAATAATGATAATAATTTTTAATATTATATGACTTTATGTTGTAAAGAATATTATCTTGTTCGATAATTAATATTTCTTAGTAATAAAAAATTAGCTTGTGTATATTTAGAATATTATTATTTTAGAAAAAATATTTTATATAGTATTGAATATATTTACTTTTTAACAAAAAGTGAACGACTCATAAATTCTAAAGATCCAATATTTTTTATGTAATGGTGTGTTTGGAAATATGGATTCGGGTTCGAATTTCAAATCTAGTCCAGCCCAAATACAAAATCTCACGTTTGGGGCTTCAATTTGCGGTCGAATTTGAAACCAAATGTATTTCGCGATGAGTGGATTTGACAGCCTAAATAAACAGCAGGATTTCAAAATCTTGACCCTTAAATCCACCCTCCACCATGTCTGATCGCGATTACTCCTTTCGTCTCCCGACTCCCCCCCACAAATCATCGACTTTCCTCTCCGCTAACCCTTGCAGCGCCCGTCACCGCCCATCGCCGGGGCCTCGTCTTGAGCACCGACCTGTCAACGCCGGCCGCCCCTTGCCCCCCTACCCCTAGCGTACTCCTGTCTTCGCCCCTAGGGGCCCGTCGTCGGCGCCTTTCCCTGAACATCGCATGTTCGTTGCGAGCCTCTCTCTCTCTCAAATTTTGACCTCTCAGGTTTCCTCACAAGCGAAAACCCTAGATTGAGGGAGCTATCGAGACCCTAGATCTCTATATTAGTCGCTAGTTCTTCTCATTATGGAAAATTTCATGTTTTCATCATTTTATTTGATCCTTTTTTCACTTTGACATCCGTGTTCATGTTGACGGAAGATGAACTTCTTTCATATTTTTGTTAATTTTTTTTTTGTTGTCATTTTTTTTTAAAGTTTATTTTGTTTGCTAGATTAACTTTAATAGAGTTACAATACCACGGAGTGTGTCTCTGATTGAAGTTTTTAAGAAATAACATATCTTTTGATAATATTTGACATCTTTAAGTTTTATGAGAATGTGAAGATAAACTCTCTAGTCTTTCTTACACACTTAGTTATATTTGGAAAAAAAAATTAATTTTTATTGCTGCTAGACTTTGGTCCTTGTAGGTGTTAGCTACATTCCACATAGATCACTTGCTCCAGGCTTATGTTGCCACGTACGATTAGATATGTGGAACACAGATTTTGACTTATCGATTTAAAAGCTTGGTGATCATTTCGCCTCTTATTTCTTTCTTCTGATGATTGCAGGTGTATTTGGGAGTTTCTTCAGCTCAATCCTTGTCTCAAGGAGCATACCTATCACAATGCGGGTAATTGGATGTTATTGTTCTGATTCGTTATTTACCATGTTTGCTAAATTTGGTTGGTAAATGAATTTCAATTATTTACCCTGCAACTTTGGATCTTTCTATGCACAATGCCACGTTGATAGAATATATAGTTTACCATGATTAAGCTTTGGACACGCTGATGTCATATGATCCAAATTAGTTGATAGGGGAGTATAATTCAAACTCGATATTGAAAGGATTAAACACGTATTCACATAGCAGGAAATAGCATATGTATGCAGTTTTATTACATTTATATGAGGCTTGATGGTATAGTTTAAACTCGGTACCGAGTACAATTATAGCAAATACCACAACCTTGACTTGAACAATGATGCTAATATTAGAAAAATATGTACAGGTTCTTTAATTAAGAATTTTTTATAGAAGAATATGTCCAGGTTCAACCTCCATTCGAAAGTTTCTTTTGGCTCCAAATTTAACATTCTCGTTTTGAGGGTTGAGTTATTAACGGTTATAAAAGCATGCAATAAGACAAGCTCATAGTAATGCTTTCATTTTTATGTGATAACATTCTCTCTTTCACACTTAAGAGCTAGTTTAGGGATGCTTCTAAGCTTAAATGATTATTTTGTTTGGGAGGCGCTTTTAATTTGTAATCAATAAATTTGAAAATCATGTGTATGCAAATAATAGATTTGAAATCAAGTGATTTGAAATCCTTTTGTTTAAAAACTGTATCCAAACAAAGGATTTGTAAATCTATGGATTTCAAATTTTAGATTTGAAATCATGAAATTTCAAATCTTTACCTCAAATTCAAATCTTGTTTCCCAAACGCAGCCTAAAGTAATTTTCCTAAATAAAATTATTTTTAATTCATAATGTCCAAATTTTATGACTAAGACGATATTATAATATCGAAAAGGGTAATAATCGTTATAATATAAAAAATCAATCCCTATTTATACTATTATTAATAATTATAATTATGTACAATATTTTATTAAATAAATAATTTTACTATTTTATTATAATTAATAATTATTTTATAATAAATTGTAATATATTTATTAATTTTATTATCATTATAAATTATTAGTATATTCTAGCGAGTGGCCAAATATTTTGAGAAAAAGAAGAGAAGTATATGTCTCATAAATTTCAAGGGTCCAAAATTTTTTATATAAATTAATTTTCCAAAATAAAAGTATTTTTAATTTATAACATCCAAAATTTTATTACTAAGATGTTATTAATTATCAAACAAGGTAATATTCTTTACAACATAAAGAATTAAATGAATGATTTTTACTATTTTATATAATCAATATTTTTTATAATAAACTATCATATATTCACGAATTTTGTTTTTATTATAAATTAATAATATATTGTAGTGAATGACCAAATAATTTGAGAAAATGAAAAGGTGCATAGTTAATGGGAGGTTATGGATCATTAGTTTTATAATTAATGGTATAATTTTGAGTTAAAAAATTGAGAGCGTAAAAAAAGAAATCAAAATTTTGACATGAGTATTCTCTTTTATAAGTAGTATAGATCTAGTAATGAATTAATATTTTACTAAGCTCCCCTAACGAATCCACTGTAGTAGGTACTCTCTCTTGTGAGACCTGACCCGAACTCACGACCCAATCCCGACTTACCTCATTCTT